TCGTATGCAACAGATTGTTGGGTCTTGTTTATGCATCCATTCTGTTAGTCTGTGTCTTTTTATTGGAGAATTGAGTCCATTGATGTTGAGGGAGATTAATGACCAGAAGCTGTTAGATCCTTTGATATTGATTTTGGCCATGGTAGTGTGTTTGGCTACTTTTGTTTTGCTGTAGTGAAGTTATTTATTTCCTATGATTTCTTGAAAGTAGTTTTCTTGGGTTGTATTTTTTCTTCTAGTATCTTCTGTAACACTGGATTTGTGTGTAGGTATTGTTGAAATTTGTTTTTGTCATTGAATATCTTGTTTTCTCTGTCTATGAGGACTGAGAGTTTTGCTGGGTACAGTAGCCTAGGCTGACATCTGTGTTCTCTTAGGGTCTGCATGATATCCGTCCAGGCCCTTCTGGCTTTCATAGTTTCTTTTGAGAAGTCAGGTGTGATTCTGATGGGTTTGCCATTATACATTACTTGGCCTTTTTCCCTTGCAGCTTTTAGTATTTTTTCTTTGTTCTGTATACTTACTGTTTTGATTATTATGTGACGGGAGAATTTTCTTTTCTGGTCTAATTTATTAGGTGTTCTGTAGGCCTTTTGTATTCTTATAGGCTTCCCCTTTAAGTTGGGGAAATTTTATTCAATTATTTTGTTGAAAATATTTTCTGGGCCTTGGAGGAAGGAGTCTTCTTTTTCCTCTATTACTATTATTCTTAGGTTTTGTCTTTTTATGTTGTCTTGGATTTCTTGGATGGTTTGTGTCAGGAATTTTTTAGATTTATTATTTTCTTTGACTGATACAATGATTTCTTCCATTGTATCTTCCACACCTGAGATTCTTTCTTCCATCTCTTGTAGTCTGTTGGTTATGCTTACCTCTGTAATTCCTGTTTTCTTTCCTAGGTTCTCCCTCTCCGTGATTTCCTCTGTTTGTATTTTAATTCTTCCAATTCTATCTTCAGATCTTGAACCGTTTTTTTTTATTTCCTTCACCTGTCTGACTGTATTTTCCTTCAATTCCTTCAGCTGTTTGTTTGAATGTTCCTCTGTTTCTTTTATTTCTTCTAGTGACACAGACTGTTTGGCTGCATCTTTCTGTATTTCTTTACGGATGACCATAATCTCTTTTATTATATCTTCCCGTAATTCTTTACACATTTTATTTACTTCCTCTATTAACCTCTTCATTAGCATGTTAGGTCATCTTCTTGAATTTCACTTATGTTAGGGTGTCCAGGGCTACTTGCCCTTGGATAACTGGGTTCTGGGGATGCCATGTTGTTTTGCCTTTTGTTGGTTTGCTTTTTTGCTGGCCTCTACCCATCTCTCTGTCTCAGGTGTTGTCTGTTAATTTGTGGTGCCTGCTGAGTCCTGGGGCAGGGAGAATCCACTTGGCAGGGTTCTGAAGTTCTCCTCTGCTTTTTGGGTATGGTCAACTGAATAGTGGTGCTTCTCAGGAATTGTCACAGTTCACTTTAGGTGTATGGACCTGTATGGTAACTGTGATGTTCAGGAAGGTTCTCCTCTCATCAGGAGAGGTCCTGGTGATGGCTGTCCTGCTGCTGGATTTTTTGCTCTGAATTTAGTGAGCAGCAGCTGTTGCTCTTAAGGTGTAATTTTTGGGTGCAGCCCTCTTGAAGGACCAAGAATTTCCACAGTTTTGTCAGTCTAGCTAGGGATAACTGGTTGATCTTTGGCACAGTATCTGAGAGCTTCTGTAATGGCTCTCTGGCTTTTGTAGGTCTGAGAATGGAGCTGTGTGCTCTAGTGCCCTAGTGGTACTCAAAAATGGTGGGTGAGCACAACACTCCTGCCTGCAGTAGAAGGCTAGAGCCTAGAGTCTGTGTGAATCCAGAAACTCTTTTGATGCTGGGTGTCCTGAGCGTTAGACCTGATGATCCCCCCACTGTGGGGTTTCCTCCTGACAGGGACACCCAGTCTTTGCTTTGGGGACTGCCGTTCTGTCTGGGATGGCGAGTAGAACCTGTAGGCACAGACACGTGTGGCTCTGCCTTTCTTGCCTTTTGGAGCCTGGGCATCTGCCTAAACTGGGTAATTTTCCCGACACCTTTTCGGGGTGGTGGTATCAGCTGAGTACTCTGAGATCAGACCAGCTGTTTCCCTCCCTGTGGGTTTGCACCTGACAGTGAAACTCAGTCTCTGGTGCCCTGGGGCCCGCAGTTCTATCTGAGGCATCGAATCAGGTGAGCAGGCAGGGATCTGTGCTGGTGCCTGGATCCCCGGCTCTGGCTCAGGGCTGGCTCCTGGGGTGCCTGCGGAACCCAAATCTTTTCCAGGGGATGTCTGGGTGACCTAAGGTCGGTCCCAATCGTTTCCTGCACCATGGGGTCATCTCTCAACTGGAAATTCCAGTGTGTGATGTGGTGCCCACAGTTCAGTCTGGGACAGTGACCAGAGCACGTTGGCTTGTGGCTCTGGGCTGGCAACCAAGTGCCTGGCTGAACCGGGATCTCTTCCGCGGTTTAGTCAGGTGAGTTAAAGCTGATTGAATCCCCCACTGTGGGGTATCCTCTCACCTGGGAAACACAATCACTTGTGTTTTGTGGTTGTGAGTTCTGATTGCTGGTCACTGTGCCGATCTTGCTGTGCTGCTGGTCAGAATGAGAGTCGTCCCGGCGCCGCCATCTTGCCCCCAATCAACAGAGTTTTGTTTTGCTTCTGCCACTGTAATTTCACTTAGGATGTTTCTATCTTCCTCCTGTGCCCAAAAGTCTGCTCTTTAATCACCTCCCCCTGTTGGGCTGTCCTTACTAGGCTACAGAGAAAGAGGATCCAGACAGTCCTAATGAGACCTGATAGGCTAAGGTCAGAGAGTAAGGGAGGAGGACCTCCCCTATCAGTGGACTAGAGAAATGGGGGTGGGAGAAGAGTGAGACCAGGAAAAGATCAGAGAGAGGCCTACTGCCGGGATACAAAGTGAATAAATTGTAATAAATAATAATGATAATTAATTTTTTTAAAAAAGTGTGTCTCTACCTTACATCAGTAAACTGTATGTCCTTCTTCATCTGTCCTTTAACCATGTTGATGTTCTTTCTATTTCACCTTTTTTTTTTCTGATCAAATCTTTATTTTTAAGTCTAGGTATACCTAATCAAGTTTTCATTTCTCATTTTTGAAGAACTGAATTTTCTTTCTTTTTCAGTTTTTAGTTCTTTAAGAATTTCATATAGTATATTTTGCTCATTTCACCCCCTTCAATAATCTTTTCCAGATACACACTCTGTTCTGTACGCACCCAATATTGTATCTCCCTTTATTTTTAAAAACCTTCTAGTACAGCTCATGCTCAATGAACTAGGGCCCATTCCTTTAATAAGAGTGGTTCTCCCTATCAGCAGCTATCAAATGCCATCCAAAACTTCTTAGCTGTTTATCGGACTTTGTGTCCATTATGCCCTTCCCCCCTCATTTCATGCTGGGATTTTGTCCTATGTAAACTTTCACAAGTCTTACCACGATGGTGTATCATGTGATACACTTGAATGCATCAAGTTCATATGTGCAACTACCCAGCGGAGTTTGGCCAACACTGTGTCCCTGTAATCATCCACCACCTCTGCTTCTTATTTTTTTCCTTCCTCCACTTTTCAAGGATTCCTGAGAAGGGTAAGATTGGTGATTGCCTTTCTCTCATGATAGCATGCATAGCAACTTTCAGCACCACAGATGTTTTCTAGTAGGAATGTAGTAGCTCCTGAGTAAGTACCACCTGATTTATCCATGGTCTATGATTCAAGTATATGGTGTCTTTTTCAAGTTCTGGAAGGATACTAAGGACTGACTGATATATCTTAGGAGGTCTAAGATATATGCATATATATATATATATATATATATATATATATATATATATATATATATATATACTGGCATAATATGTATTCTTACATTATATACGAGAAACTTTCTATGCTAATAGTTTTTATATTGTTTGAAATATAATTAGTTTCTCTTCTTTCTATTCCTTTCACTACCCTACTGCCCCATTCTCTACCCCCATTTAACTTTTAGGTTTAGGTTTTCAAAGTTTATAAAAGTAGACAGAAAAAGAAATATAAGAATGACTTTCCATGCAATGTAAAAGAAATTAACCACATCATAAATCTCGATAATGGAAGGGGTGTTGTATGTTTTGAGCCTATGATTTCAGCGTAAAAATAAACATAGTGCAGATTTTTCAAAGGCTTTTAATATATTTTAGAGGGAATGAATATTTTTATTTTAGAGGGAATGAATATTTTTAATAAATTAGTAAACTATTACAAGTTTTTTGAGAGAACTTAAGCATGCCTGTAGATAGAAAATAGTGTCTATTGACAAATAAGACTCATTAAGTCAAGCCTGAATGGATGAGATCAAGAAATTATTGACATAATTACATTCAATAAATTTTATGCTACTACTCTGGAAAGTATGAAAATGGTTAAGAAATTGACAATAGTATGGGCATAAGGGATCCAGATAGCACACTCCAAGCCCAAGGGAGACAGAATTCTAATGAGAGGTGTTTGGGGGAAAGCCTAGTGGGCAGGGTCAGTGCCTTAGCATGAACATTACTACCTCAGGCCATTGTTCATCCAGGTGCACTGTAATAGGATGCATTCAGTCTGCCTCAGAATGGGGATATCCAAAAACCCACAGCAACAGCCTTCATCATCAAAAAGAATGGGAAGAGAACTTTAGCACTCACAGTCCACACTCTAAACACTGCAGCTCTTACTCATTCAACATTTTTCTTCCACCTCAACTACCACTGACCTAAGTCATCTACTATGGTTAGTGGGAAGAATTTCCTAGACTTGTTTATTAGTACAGAAGTTCTACACAGATGATACAGTGGTACACCTTGTATTTAACTCTATTTATCGCACACAATTATAGACAGCACTATCAGTTAGGGTCATTTACTCACATGAGAATATCCTATTTTTGAAGATGTCTATGTATGCCTGTAAGCCTGTGTCCATTTTTATCTTTTAGACTCATCCATAATTTTAGAGATGGCAAGCAAATTCAAGAAAATTGTTCTTCTGAAAGGATTACAGGGCATGGAGGACTATGAGTTTAGGACAATCAAGTCCTTACTAAGAAAAGAACTAAAACTAACTAAAAAGCAAGAGGAGTATGACAGAATTCAGCTGGCTGACCTGATGGAGGACAAGTACCCAAAAGATGCTGGACTAGCCAAGCTGATAGAACTGTGCAAAGACGTGGAAGAACTTAAAGAAATTGCTGAAAAGCTTAAAACAGAGAAGGCTAAAGGTAACAGCAGGGTACCTTCAACTCTCAACCCATCTCCACTCTCCCCAAACTTGGTAGCTCTCTGCAGTGATCAGAGCTTTTTTCTATTGTGTGTCTTAGAATCTATAAGGTTGAAACATTTTAAATATGAACAAGCTGATGATTTTGAGAATCCTTCCTTACCAAAGAAATTTGATGTATTTCAAGGTAGATATCTTTTGTGTTGGAGGTAAATAAAATAAGAAGCAGTTGTTGAGATAGATTAGAATATCCAACATGGTAGGGAATCTAGAAAGTGAAGTAAAAATTGAGAAATTGTCATTTAAGACATTTAAATAGAGGAAATTTAATACTTACTTGACAATCTTACCATTCTACTAATATCCTTTCTGTTAACAAATATGAGCTAATATTTAAGTACGAACCTGCATCTTAAAGATGTAAAGAAGTTTTTCTTTATAAAGTCACTGGGTTTAAAAAACAATGGGTATATTGGCCCACAACTCTAGACCCTAGCAGTTAGCATAAGGATGTTCAGGCAGGAAGAACTGAAGTTTGAAAATACTGTAAGTTACACAGAAAGAAGTATCCCCAATATAGAAGTAAGATGTCAAAATCTAAGGTCACTACTTTGTTATATCAAATATTAAATCATAATTTATTTTTCTTTTCCTATGGTTTGGAATGATTTTCTTTAGAGGATGACCTACTGTTTTATCATTAAAATTTGGGTTCCTAAAATCACTCTGTGGGATAAGAAGTTTGGTTCAGGGTTGGACTGATAAAATAGTTTTTGAAGTCATTGTCTTTCTGTAAAATCATTAATGAACGTGGAATAAAATGTTATCTTATCTTTTTAAAAATGAAAGAAAAATAATTCTGAGTGAACTTCAGCCATCTTAAACATTTCCCTGGGTTTAGTGTGTGTGGTTTTTTTTTTTGTTTGTTTGTTTGTTTTTTTTTTTTTTGCCACTACAGTTACAAAACAAAGGAAAGGAGAACGGAAAACTGCGGTGAAAAAAAGAAAGCAAGATGAACCCAGTAGTTTCCCAACTCCTGCCACCAATAATGAATCAAACAAGAATAAACCTTCTTCAAAGGTAAGGTGACTAGTCTCCGGCCAGAAAAAGTTTCTATTCAGGTTCTTAACCTTGTTGACTCTTTAGGAAGGTTTAGCACTCTTTCTAGTCCAAGGCTCTAGTGAGAATGGGGTTCTAAGTCAACAAATATATAGTGACCTTCCATTCATTTTGTTTCACATTTACTGTGGGCTCTAACTTGTGCAGGATAAGCTCTAACGTTGCAAACATAAAATCACTACTCGGCTTTTTAAAGAAACTTACTGTAAAGTGGTTGCTTTGAGATGTAGCTTTTTAAAAGATTAAACCTAAACATAGACTGTAATTCTACATCCTATGCTCTTCTGCAATCACGGGGGAAAAGAGAGTGGCATAAATGTATCGTGGTTGCTCCTCTATGAGGCAATCCTACATTTCAGTTAGGGTTTCTGTTTCTGCGAAGAGACACCGTGACTAGGTCAACTCTCATGAAAGAAAGCATTCCATTGGATCTTTCTTATGTTCAGAGGTTTATTAAATTACAGTCATGGTAGAAAGCATGGCTGCACACAGACAGGCATAATGCTTGTGAGGAACTGGGAGCTCTATATCTCCACAGGCAGGAGGAACAAGGTGTGACACTGGGCATGGCTTGAGCAAAGCCCACAAAGCCCACCAGAAGTGACACGCTTCCTCCAACAGGCACACCTACTCCAACAAGGCCACATCCCCTAACAGTGCCACTCCCTGGTGACCCAGCATTCAAATCTCTGTGTTTATGGGAGCCATTGTTATTCAATTCACCACACTACACAGCTGATCTCTTAAGAATAAGATGTGCTCAAAGACACAAGTATAATTAGAATTCAGTAATAAAACAAATAATCTTATGGTCTTGAAAATATTGTGTTTTATTTAATATTAAAGACATTACTAGGGGCTGGAGATAAAACTGTAGAGAAAAGCACAACTCAGTGTGTACAAGACCTGGGGTCCAGTTTTCAATACATGGGAGACTCAAGAGAGAAAAAGAAATGTTTTTCTTTCAGAACAAGATAAAACAAACCAGAAAAACTGAAGTTGGAAAGAAAAGGAAGCTTACTGAGGACCAGACTCGGCTTTCAGAACCTTCAGAAACCAACACACAAAAAAATGAAGGTTGTATCCAGACTCCCCATAAGCCTCTACCAACAACATCCACTTGTTCCTCAAAGAAGGTACCATTTTCCTCTTCCCAGTGCTTGTCCCTTCCCCAAAGCACATCACTCTTCTCATCACAACCTTCAAAAGACTTCTCACTAATCCCCTACTATGAAGACTCTCCTCATATTACTGAATAGCTCACTAAGCCATCTGTTAATGTATCATGATCTCAGGATATTAAAAAGATAAGTATTTATGGAATATATTTAATGCTGTCAACCAGCAATCTGATTAGAGTTCAGGAAAAAAAAAAGTATAGAGATACAAACAGAGACACAGGAGTGTAGCAGTTCCCCATAGCTTAGTTCTTCTTAGCCCTAACTGGTGACCCAACTTCTGAGATTATTTTCACCATCCTGTGGTCTTCTCAGCGGGTGTTTTGACACATGATGTTTCCCTGTTTAGGAAATCTTTATCCCTGCCCATTCACTGATCAAGCAACTGTGTAACTATAATAGCCATTTTTGCTGAAAGTGAGCTTCAGACCCTTCCCAGACATATGCCAAACTCTCCCAGCCATTTCTCATAGGAAGGAACAACCATTCTGGTGACTTCTTAATGTAATTACAATGTCTAGAATTTCTCATCTGATTTTCTAATAATGTACTTAATGGTATCATCATTCATCAGGTGTGTATTTTGAGACCCTAACTGCAATTTACACAGATCTAATTTTGATGCATGGTACAATTGTGTTGAACACTCTTTGTAACCAACTTTTAATCCTTTTAAATTATAGAGTCCTGTTATTTAACATAGGAAGCCCTTAAACACATTCACTATCTTGTTCACACATGGTGATAGCAATATAATTGGAAATGTACACAATCCCCAAAAAAATGAGCTACACTTACTGAAAGTTTTGGCTTAAATAGCATTAACTTCATAGCAATGGTTGCGTTTTAGAAGACTTGTTCCTTGGAAGATCAAAACCATACAAAGAAATCAGTAAAAGTGGCCATTAGAGTTATATGTAGGTATTTGCATTCTAACTTACCTTCAGTTTTAAAGAAAAATTTATCACCTTTAACATTATATTTAACATTTCTTCATTCTTCTAAGATCAGAAAAATGTAATAAAAAAACTAACTAGATCTGTTGCCTGAAGTACAAGCATTTCTCACATACATAGCAGTTTTATTGGATTTGAATTATGGTTATTTTAAAGATCCAAACAAAGCTTTGACTGAGTGTAGATGGGCTTTAGGCCTGATAGTCCAGCACTCTGTCAACTGAGCTCCATCTCCATCCACTACAGTACCTGTCACATAATCTCACATCATCTGAAAGTGTAAGGAATAGACTCCAGTTTGCTAAAGAGAACTAAGGATTGAATATTTAATGGACTAGAAAGTCTATGTGAATGCAAGTCCAGATATATGGGCCAATTTTACCACAAGTTTAGCTACCCACAAAATAACACTGAGTTGAACCAGACCAAGTAATTTTTGACAAGTTTTTCTAAGATGCTCTGAGCAAGCATCTCATCCCCAACCAGTGAAAATTCAAAATCTTGCTTTTATTAGAAGTTGTAATATTGATTAGAAAGGGAGGAGGCTAGGTGTTAGAATACCTAAGTGTGTGCTAAAAGAGTTAGTTCAGCCCAGGAGAAAACAGACAGGATAAAAGTCCGATTTTCAAATGGAAAAATGAAAAGACATACTTGATCTGATTTTTAAAAACCATTAAGCAGGATTAAAAGTTTCCCAATCTTATTTTCCTTTAGAAACAAAAAAACACAATCATCCAAAAACATGGTATCATAAAGACAGAAGTTCCACAGGAAAAGCAGCAGCATCCCCAGTTTTCAGCAACCAGCAACTCCTCAGCTGTGAGTGAACTCCAGACTCTCCAGGGACATTCAGCAATTGCTTCCAGCAGCCTTCAGATTCCTCTGATGCCTCTAGAATCACTCTTGGCTTTAAAGATGTTGCAGGCCTCTACAGTACCAACTTGCCAGAATTTTCCAGTGTCAGCATCACACTCCTGTATCCCTCTGACCTGTCATGTGTCTCCTGCACCGTTCAGTGCAGTCCAGGCTCCTCATGAACCTTCAGCAACAGCATCTAGCAATGACTGTGTCCCTGTCATGCGTCCAGAAACAGTATCCAAATCTCTCAGTGCTCCTCAGATGTCTCCAACCATAGTGCCCAGCAGTGTCCAGGACCATCTCCTACCTACAGCAGCAGCATCCAGTAGCACACAGGCTTCTCACAGTCAACTAATAGCATCCAAAAGTGTAAAAAGTACTAGAAGGCCTTCAGCAACGCTGACAAGCAAATCCAAGCTGGGAAAGATGTCTCCTCCCACAACAGCATCGAGCAATGCTCAGGTTTCCCATGCTCCTCTTGCAGCAACAGCATCCCAAAGAAACTCTGCCACTCAGGTGCCTCAAAGACCAAAACCCTGTAGCATTCAGGCTCTTAACTCTACAGCAAAGGCTACAGTAAAGGCATCCAAGAATGTCCAGACCCATCAAGTGTTTTTACCAGCAGAGGCCAATTATTTCCAGGCTTCGGAGGCACCTCCTCTACCAACATCCAGCAGTCTTTTCACCCCTCAGGTGCCTATGTCAACAGCGACAAGCAGAGTCCAGACCACTCAAAGGCATCCAGGAACAGCATCCAACTGCATTCAGGCTTCTCACTTTCCTCTGCCAACAGTGTCCAGAAACGTGTGCACCTCTCGAGTGCCTCAGCTAGCAGCATCCAGTACTGGGCCGGCCATTCTCCATCCTAAAGTAAAAGCATTCAAGAGCACCCAGGCACCTCAGGCACCCTCAGCAACGACATCCAGCACTCTCAGGCCTCCGTGTGCATCTCTACCACCAGCAGCCAGCACTCTCCTGGAACCACGTTCATGTCTACCAAAAGCATCCAGAAGTTTCCTGGCTCCACCCATGTCCACAGTAACAGCATTAGGGGCTTTCCAGGCTACTCCAGTGCCTCCAGCAACAACAAACAACAGTCTATCCAGGGTAATGGCCAAGAGGACAATGTAATTGTACAAACAATATAATGACAGAGATTAGCACAAACTTGGAAGGCGTCTTCATTTTTTTTTTAATTTTTGTTTTTTTAATATTAGTTACATGTGTTAACTTTGTATCCCTCTTTCCCTCCCAATCCCACCCTCCCACCCTCATCTCCTCGCTGTCCCTTTCCAAGTCCACTGATAAGGGAGAACCTCCTCCTCTTTCATCTGATACTGGTTTATCAGGTGTCTTCAGGACTAGCTGCAAAGTCCTCCTCTGTGGCCGAGCAGGGCTGCTCCTCCCTGAGGGTGGGGGGTGAGGTCAAAGAGAGCGCCATTGAGTTCATGTCAGAGACAGTCCCTGTTCCCCTTATTAGGGTACCCACTTGGATACTGAGCTACCAAGGGCTACATCTGAGCAGAGGTTCTAGGTTGCATCCATAGATGGCCCTTGTTTGGAGAAACAGTCTCATAAAAGACCCCTGTGGGAAGGCTTCTTCATTACTCTATACGTACACATAATCTTTTATTCAAATAATCGCTAATTTTTATTGTGTATAGTTACTGATTCCCACCTAAATTCAATAGTAATACTTTACATTGTATGCTCTACTCCATTGAGAAAATAGTCAAGTGATCACTTAACGTTCCTGTTCTGTAAGGAGCACAGTGAGACACTTGCTCATTTAATTTTACACCTTAAAATTTTTGTCAAGGTGTTGTTTACATAATGTGCATCACTGCTCCAGTTACACTGAAAATGCACTTCCTGGTGACAGAACACAGCAGTGAGGAGTAAGAGTTAAAACCTCCCACCCACAGGGTGAAGTCTGTGTAAGCCTCCAGGTCAGACTACAGAAAGTGCTGCCAGTTTTTAGCTGACTTCCTTTGCTGGTACCGAGCTTGACCATGACTGCCAACATGCTGCCTCTATCAGTTTTGCGATGTTGCCTCCATTTCAAAGTACTTTCCTGATGCACAGAAATGACATAGGATACTGTGGAGGTAGGTTATCAAAGAGAAATGCCTTCACAGTTTTTTTTCTAGTCTCAGGGTTCTCCTCCATGCTTGTTATTATGCCAAAAGAATAACTACGAGACCAAATCCTTTCTGCTTAATGATGTTTGAGGGGATCTTCCTGTGCCTGCCTACCTAACCTTTTTTCAAGAAAGCTCTGATTTTTTAGAAAATGCTTTGAGTTGAAATCTTCAAAATGTTCCCAGATAAAAGACTTGACAAGAGCAATGGAGGCTCTGGGTTAGTTCCCAAGAATTACAGGTATAATCCCTTTATCCACCAGGAATAATTTATATTAACTGGAATTTCTAGGTAGCAATTGAGGTAAATGTTTCTTCCTTTAGATAGGTTGTAACAGAGCAATCATTGTTTAGATGATCTCCATTCTACTCAAGTAGAAAAGTTCCTTATGATCTGTCTTAACTATGCCTGTTTATCTTGTGTCTATTTATGTAAACACAAAAGAGAGGAATTGTACCAAAGAAGCCTTCTAAGGAAGAAGGTCAGCATCAAGGTCCCAAACAAGTGATGGTATTGAAAGTAACAGAACCATTTACTTATGATATGACAGAGGACAAAAGGATGTTCCATGCTACAGTTGCTACTGAGACGGAATTCTTCAGAGTGAAGGTTTTTGACACAGCCCTAAGGAAAAAGTTCATCCCCCAAAAGATCATTATCATATCAGATTATTTTGGAGCCAATGGGTTTCTGGAGATATACAAAGACTCCTGTGTGTCTGATGTGAATGTTAAACAAATAATGGTTATCTCGAATACACTGAGGCAAAGAGCTAACGAAACTCCAAAAATTTCTCATCTTCTTACACAAACAAATGGGACATTTGTGAATGGAGAGTTTGTAGTAACGAAGGTAAGCCATTGTGTTGTTTGTAAAATTTCTTCTGCAATCTGAGATTTTAAGTTTTAATTTAGCGCTGAAATTTGCTCAACTTACTTAACACAGGAAAACATTGCCTTCCATAGCAGAAAGAGACAAATGAGGTTTCCTCACTTTGGGGATTGGGATGGTTTCCTAACATTCTTTTCCTCAAGGTACCACAGGAAAATTCTTTAGAAAGAGATTTATCAATAACCTTTGACATTTCCTGGTTATGACAATCTATCTATCGGCATCCTAATCCCAGACATTGTTCAGTTTAAGTACACTTTCCTTTTAGATTTTGTTTCTTTGATAGCTTCCTCATCAGTATTATCAGCAACTCAGTTGTGAGTGAAGAGCCAAATTCCTAGCCTAGATATAATTTGAAACAATGAGAATAAGAAACCAAATAGACTATTCTTCCCTAGTATAAAGCCTTGTCCAACAAGCCAGGATTATATCTTTAAAGTGTTCTCACTCTCATATTCTTTAGTTTTCATCAAGTTCCTTTGAGGAAGTGACTATGAGAGAAAGAGGAGTTCGGGAGGCTAGTTTAATTTCACAATTTATATCTAGGCACAATGAAAGTGAGGAAAATTTAGTAAGTCTATGGTCTTTGGATGTTTCTTTAAGTGCCAATACCCCAATTCATTTGTAAGCTTATCCAATGTATGATTTTGTAATTTGCATACATGAATACAGTCATGTTATTTATGCTGCTTCTGGCTGTGCTGGTATATTTTGTTATATAAATGGAATACAAACTAAAACACCAGATCCAAATGCTGTAGATTTAACCTGAGTGATTTGGAATACAGTGAATCAATGTGTACACTGAGCAAATGTGCTCTATTTCAAAAAGAGGGATGTGTGTATGTGTGTGTGTCTATCTATATATCTGTCTGTATATGTGTGTCTGTCTCTCATGCTCTTTGTCTCTTTTTTAATTAATTATTTTTTATTAATTACAGTTTATTCACATCATATCCCAGCTGTAGCCCCCTCCCTCATCCCTTCCCAATCCCACTCTCTCTTCCTCCACTTCTCCTATGTCCCTTCCCCAGTCCACTGATAGGATAGTCTCCTTCCATCTGACCCTAGCCTATCAGGTATCTTTGTTTCTTTTTTTTGTCTGTTAGTTTGTTGGTTTTGTTTTAGTCTTGTTTGTTTGTCTTTATTTGCTTGTTAGTTTTCTTGAGAGAGAGAGACAGAGAGAGAAAAGGTGTAGAGATGGCAGAGTGTGGAAGTGAGAAGTACCTGGGAGGAGGTAGGGGAGGGGAACCACAATCAGAATATGTTGTACGAAAATAACTTCATTTTCAATAAGAGTTAAAGTAAATGAAATAAAGGCAGTGCATGCTAGTGTTCCTCAGACTCCCCATGAGCCACAAGTAGCCTTTATTCTCAGGCCTCTTGCTGTACCTAAAAAGCCTTCGACTGTAAGTAGATATGATTCTTTGTTTATTTTCGTTCTTTCAGTTTTGATCCCATACTTAGAATCTTTAAGAAATCTCAACTGTTCTGATAGGTTAAGACACTCATTTTTCCTGAAGATGCTCAGCAGTTAAAAACCTCAAGTAGGTAAAGCTTAAGTAAGAGTGGTTTTCAGAGGCTGGAAGGAGGCTCAGTCATTAAAGTCTAGGCTCACAAATAAAACCTCAAGAGCGATTTCCAAGAAAAAGTTTGTTTACTGCAACATCCTAAACTATTTTGTTTCTATAATTCTATTTTTTCCAGTTATTTATTTATTTTGTCTGTGATGCTTGAAAGAAAACACAAAGGCCATGAAACTAGTGTGGAGGTCAGAAGGCAGGTTTCAGGAATGAGTCCTCTCCTCCTACCATGAGTCCTGGTAATTGAGCAGGTTTCAGGAATAAGCCCTCTCCTCCTACCATGAGTCCTGGTAATTGAGCCCAAGTCATCAGGCTTGACAACAAACACCCTTACCGACTGAACCATCTCACTGGCCCTTGTACCAGCAATTCTAAACCCAAGAGCCATATTTGCCTTGTTGGAGACAGGTTTAAGCGACACAGTTTATTTCTCACAGATGTGACAAGCTTTGATACATTTCCTACAAGATGAATGTTAATTTGTTTTACAGAAAAATAAGAGGAAAGAATTAATTTACTATGGAATTGAAGATGAAACAGGAAAAATGGAAGTGGTGGTATACGGACGGCTGACCAGGATCAACTGTGAGCCAGGCAATAAACTTAGACTCATCTGCTTTGAATTGACCCAAAGTGAAGATTTGTGGCAGCTGAGGTCTTCAAGGCACAGTTACATGCAGGTATATGATCTGAGAAATACCATTCTTCCTATGAATCATATAATTTTTTAATACTGTAGTAAAACTTGACCGTTGGCATTACAGAGAAAATCCACAGGTGGAGGAAAATTAAGCTTTGCCCATTTATCATATAGCTTCCTTAGATTATTTTTTGAATAAGGGTTTTTGAATCATGGTACAGAAAATAAATTCAGAAAGACTCAAAGTTGTTACACATTTTGTTAAATGATAAACTACCTCATTTATAAAAGCAGAGAGATAATTTGACAGGACTTGGGTTAATTAAAATGTTTGTTCCAAATTCTGACTCTCCGAATTTTCAAATTGACCAAAGTTGAAAACATAAGGAACCTCAGTTCTTCATCTATAACATACAAATATCTCTTGCAGAGAATCATGGACAGAAATCATAAGTTACCAAGGATTGCCCTGAACAAAGCAGACTGCAAGGTTCTAAAATCCACCCTCCTTGTCACACTTATACATTTGTGTGGGATTCATTTTACACACCACACACACACACACACACACACACACACACACACACACACACACAACTACTATTGCAATGTAAACAAAAGAATTATAAAGGATGACCTGGTTGTTCATGTGGAAATGCTCTCACGCTACCTTCATTCTCCAGACTATCAGCCAACATTCCAAACTTTCCCTCAGGGCAGCTGCACCAGCCAAGCCTTTTTCTCCCTGCTCCCAACCTCCCTGTTCAATGAAACTCAGTGACTCAGTAGTTTCGTTTCCTCAAGCATTGCAACTCTTTCCCCCGTAGCTTTGTGCACACCCTGCTCTTCCAGCTGTGCTCAAGCCTGTAGGAATGATCAGTTAATCCCAAGGGAGGAAAGAACGCTGACTCCAAGGACAGAGATGCACTTAAGGAGCTAGGCCAGAGAATAGAGGCATGTGTGACTCATGGTGACTGACTAGTCAGTGTAAAAAGAAAACTGTGGAACCAGCTGCATTTCAACTGATCTGTTGTCATTGTTTTCTTCTTTAAGGTGATCAGTGCTGGAATGTAAAGGAAAATGACTCAGCCCTGGTTCAGTTATGAAAACCTCCCTAGAACTATACTTCTGAAAACCTGAATGTCAATGATAATGTTTACGGAGATAAGAACCAAGTACAGAAAATGAATGTGTATATGACCTGTTGAAATACCATACCTATAAAACCCAGCTGTTAATTCTAAGAAATGGTGCTTTCTTACATTTTTTATACATTTGTGTACTATCTAAATTTCATATTTTGTATCTATAAGTTTTATACCTAAAACAACAAAAAACAGTTTCTGTAAATCAGTGCTTCCCTGGGAGTATCTTTAGCCTTTTAAGAGTTGCTGTACAAAAAAAAAAAAAAAAAAAAAAAAAAGTTACTGCATTGAACATATGACAGGAGTCTACCGCAGAAGGCATCTGAAAGACTCTAACTAGCAGTGTTTCAAAGCAGATACTAAGACCCATAACCAAACCTTCGGGAGAGTACAGGGAATCATATGATAGAAGGGGAGTTAGTATGATGTGGAAAGGATAGGAGCGCCACAAGGACTAAATATATCTGGGCACAGGGTCTTTTCTGAGACTGACACTCCACCAAGGACCATGTACGGATATAACCTAGAATCTCTGCTCGGATGTAGCCCGTGGTAGCTCAGTAACCAATTGGTTTCCCACAGTCAGGGGAACAAGGACTATTTCTAACAGGAATTCAATGGCTGGCTCTTTGACCTCCCCACCCCCCAAGGGAGGATCAGTCCTGTTAGGCCACAGAGGAGGACTTTGCAGCCAGTCCTGATAAAACAGGGTCAGATGAAAGGGGAGGAGGTCCTCCCCTATCAGTGGACTTGGAAAGGGGCAGGGAGGAGATGAGGGAGGGAGGGAGGGAGGGTTGGATTGGGAGGGAATGAGGGAGCAGGATACAGCTGGGATACAGAGTTAACAAAATGTAACTAATAAGAAAAATACCCCTGCACAGATGTAGCACATGACAGTTCAGTGTCCAAGTGGGTTATATAGTAATGGGAAGAGGGACTGCCTCTGACATACTCTGATTGGCCTGCTCTTTGATCACCTCCCCCTGAGGGGGGAGCAGCCTTACCAGGCCACAGGCCACAGAAGATGACAATGCAGCCACTGCTGATGTGATCTGATAGACTAAGATCAGAAGGAAGGAGAAGAGGACCTCCCCTATAATACCTTTTAAGATTCGAAAGAAGGTTGAATTCAGCCTTGAGTGTAGTTCCCAAAGATCCTGTGCTGAGGACAGAATCAAGTCTTCACACCCCTTTTGCTGAGTGAATGTGAGTGTATTCTAGAGATTATCTTTTTGAAATAAAAATCCCCAAAAATGAGGTCTTTGGGGTAAGGCATGCTATTTTCAACATTAAGGAATCTCATCTCCAGTTCTAGAGTGAAATAAAATCACTGCAGACTTTTAGGGGAAAATAAGGAAGCCTTATCTTAAAGGAAAGCAAAGGAATTAAGAAATTAGTCAGGATTCCCAGGGAGGCCTTTCTGGAGTACTATTTACTTTTCTATGCTGGAAAAGTATACGTGACAGAAGCAACTGAGTAGCAATGGATTTATTTTTGCTTATGGTTTAATGGTAGAGGAAGGTGAGATTGATGATCATATTGTACCTGCAATAGGCAGCAGAGAGAGATGAACTCTGGAGTTGAGCTCTCTCTCTGTCTCTCTCTCTCTCTGTCTCTCTCTGTCTCTCTCTCTCTGTGTGTGTGTGTGTGTGTGTGTCTGACTCTCTGCTAAGGACCTTAGCCTATTCAACAATATCACCCGTACTTAAATTGAGTGTTTCTGTATTCCTTTACATAGTCTAGAGACCTCTCCCATGCATACGCTCAAAGGTTTTTCAGAAGTGATTGTAGATGATGTAAGATTTACAGTCAGTATTAACAGTCATATGGGGCAAACAACAAACATGGAAAGGTTGGGATAGCAGAAATAAAGGCAGAGATTGTTAATGAGCTAAGGATGAGTGGATCTCTCATCTTGGAAATCCATGTCTTATTTCCCATTCTAATGGTACTGAACATTTGTGCTTAATGAGATAAATTTAGTTCATGGTCACTTCTCATCTATAGATAAATGCCACTAGAGAGCATTTGTGGAAGGAAATTCTTGTTTGTTTGCTTTTCTTTTATTATCTGTTTTGCTTTAACTTTGCTATTCCAGGCTGAGACAGTCTGGCATGGGGATTAGTTTAGCAACTTGAAACTCCACTTTTCTTGTCCTGTAACCACAATGCACTTTCTAGCCAGAGACCAGTATCCATATTCACTGTGTACATTCAAAGTTCTTCTAATAATATATCTGAAACTTATTGTTAATATTAGTATGCACATACATCAGGTTGCAAATATATGTGCTGCAAACGATGAAAATGATTACTGCCCTTAGAAATACCTTCCTAAAACCCTTGTTTATATTCAAATGTATCACAGACCTTTTGCTACCAAGAAAAACAGCCTGATCCAGCCTAGACTAGCTTGGGTACATGTACAGCCAGACAAACTGTGTCTTTAAAATGAACTGTTTTGATGGATATTGTATTCACCTCCTTTTTCTTATGCATAGTTGTGTGTATCTAACCAAAATAAAGTGTTCTGTAAATTCACAGGGAGTAAACGCCTACCTAATCTAAGCACATCAGTTGAAATAAAGACTGACCTGTGTTACACCTTCAGCAAACTAACTCTTGAACTCCATGAAAGCAACTCCAAACAAAAACTGGGGCCTTGAGTACCTTTACTCATGTGGTCCACAGTTGCTCTTCACACATAGTCCTTCCTAATATGCGTTGTAACTTTGCTTTAAATAAACTGTCACTGCTTCTTTAAAATCTGTGTGAGCCTTTGCTAAAAATCTTTGAATAAAAGGGCAATATTTTGGAACCACCTGGCTTAGACTCTGACTACTACCATATCCTGTAACAAAAATATAGGAAAAAGTCTCAACAAATGCCAAATATTAGGTCTTGGGTTCCAAGCTTCCAAAACTGTGGGTAATGAACTTATTTTCTTTACATGAAACTTTATCTGTGGTGTTTTGATATCACACAAAACAGACTAAGATAGAGGAAATTATGTGTTGTTCATAATTGTCAGAGACAGAGAATTGTATCTTATATAAACCTGAAGTTTCAATTTATATAATCTATAAATTATTTGCAATGAAGATGAGAATTATAGTGCCAAATCTGCCTATACACTGTAGGCTGCAATTATCTTATACCTGTGTTTTGTGACAATATTCCTGGAGAGATGTGAACAACTGTCTTCTCATCTCAGGCCAAAGCTCAGATACAACCAAAGTCCAATTTGGTGAATCAGTGGGGTTTATTTCTATGTGGTTCTTATAAGAATATTGATGAAGTGTTACTTCCAGGAGCAGAAATGACACAAAGATAGCTATGTCACCAGTTCACCGCAAAATGAATAACAGTGCGTAATAGTTAGAGACCTGGAACAATTTTCACAGCCTGCAGACAGCACAACATATGGAAAGGGCTTCTTTTAGGCAGTTCAGTTGCTCTGAGCCTCTTCTGGAGAGCCTGGTTGGTTTTTATTTTTCCCAGGTATGCTTAACTCATTTGAGAGTTCCTATCAATACTCATTATAGTCTGTATATTTTCAGAGAGGAAGGACTCTGTTTTATTTGGTTTCAGGGGCTTCCTGAAGTCTCTAAGCTATGTACTGCTTGACCATAATAACCTTCCAGGCTGGATGGGAATTTTCACTCATTCTTGGAATATCTTGCTATTCTGCATCTTTTTTTTAATACCCTGTGTCTTAACAAGCTTTCCTGTAAGGTAAAAGATTTTGATCTTGGAGGAAACAGTTACACAACAGTGCCTCTTGAAAATATTCATGTTTATAGCCTGAGATTAGTGCTACTCTTCAGCTGGGGTCAGAGAAGCTTCTTTTCTCAGTGAGTTGCTATTAATTCCAGAAACTCAGAACTAGAAACAGGCTTTGTGACTGTGCACTTTGCTTCCTTAACTAGCAGGTATTGGGCTCTCCTTTTCAATCAGCACTTCCTTGAGCAGAAATGACTCAAAGATAGCTATGTTTCCAGTTCATCCCAAAATGAGTAACAGCTGTTCCCCGTGCCGGACTATCTCATCCTCACATGCTGCAATAGCAAAGTTAAAGGAAAACAGATAATAAAAGGAAAACAAACAAGAATTTCCTTCCACAAATGTTTTCTAGTGACAATTATCTATTGACGAGAAGTGACCATGAACTAAGACTGCCAGTCACATAGCCAGTTAAAAAGACTCTTATATCAACCTTGACTATTTTAGAGCACCATACAGATGCCGTGAGAAACCTACACAATTTTAGTTCATGGCTTCAGCTCTCAAAGGTGCAGCTTCACTTATGTTTTTCCCAATCCTTTGTTTCAGATTTTTGTTTTTCTGCCTGAGGAATCTACATGAACTGAGAATCATTTCCATCTAGGCTAGAGGCATAGCACTTCCTCAACATCTTGAAAAAAGACTCCTGTGCTTGATACAAACAGGAAGTTCCGCTTGTATGTGATGCACACCGTGACTAGTTTTCGCAAATCCTTCTTTAGCTCCTATCTTCATGCACCTTAGGATCACTGTGTGCACTTGGAGAAACTGTTCTCTGGAAATCCTTGTAGATTAGTCCCAATGCAGGGATTCTCCAAGGTGTCTGTTGCTGTTGCTGTAGTGAAAACCAGGCTGGTAACATGAAAAAACAAACAAACAGCCCTATTCAGTCATTTCTCCTAGCCCATCTCCACCCCTCTGTGATTCTCAGATGACCCAAAGAACCTCTCTCTACCAGGGACTCCACAGCCACCATATTTAACTGGAACCCATGCTGGCTATCTGTGTCTTTCTCCCATTCTTCATTTTGGTCTCACCACAACATTCTTAGAGCAGCTGCTGTCTTCCCACTTCAGCACCTCCACATAGCCTACATCCGTCCATATAGAACTTACTGCTATCCACAGCCATAGGCAAGGTAATACTAGTTTTGCCTCTACTGGTCTTCCTGAAGCTGAACCCTAAGTCCTGCCTGACATAACTATGGAGCCAGCCTTCCTTTTCTGCTTCCCAGGTGTTTTGAACCTATGGTCCAAAACCCCTTCATGGGCTGAATGGCCCTTTCACAGGGGCACCTAAAATCATCTGCATATGAGATATTTATGTTACAGTTCATAATAGTAGTAAAATTACAGTTACGAAGTAGCAACTAGAATAATTGTATTGTTGCAGTTACCACCACATGAAGAACTGTATTAAAGGGTCACAGAGTTAGGAAGAGAACCACCGTTTTAGCCTAACATCCACACAACCTACTGAATCAATCTGGGATTATTTGGAATCCGAGCCCAGAATTCCAAGTAGAACTTGAGATCTGGGATTAGTTGGGGACTGAATATTAACACTTGGAGTGTCCCAAGATTAAAAACTCCTGGTCTAATCTGTCAAGTTGTGGCAACAGCAGCCTGTGAACTGAAAACCTACCCGACCAAGGTGGGACCAGCTATCTACATAAAAAAAAATTCTCATAAGTTATAACTAGAGATGCTTAGTTCCCAGTACAAAAACAAAAACATAAATAATCAAGACAATATACCTCCTTCGTATGCCACCAATCCTGTTGTAATAAGTCTGGAAAAAAAAAAGCAAATTAGCAGAAATACATGACAAAGACTTTAAAACAGCAACTATGAATATGCCCAGGGATCTTAATAAGTACCTCACTGAAGACCATGAATACACACACTGTTGGATTAAATAAGGAAAGCAATTCAAGACATGAAAGGAGAATATTATTTAAAAATAAAATCACTAAAGAAAAGCAAAGCTGAAGTAAAACTCAGAATGAAAAATTTGGGCAGAAAAGACATGGAAGAAACAATTTCAGATCTTGAAGACAAGGAAGAAACAATGGATATCTTCATCAAAGAAAATATCAAATCTAAGAGAATCTAGTCACAGAGCATCAAGAAAACCTGGGATACTGGAGCAAAAAAAATCATATGAATAATAGATATGGAGGAAGCAGAAGGAACACAAGTCAATGGCATAGGCAATAGTTTAACAAAATCATAGATAAATTGTTGCTCTAAAAAGAGAGAGAGATGATTATCAAGGATCAAGAGAAATACAGAACAGCAAAGAGACAGGACCAGAAAAGAAACTCACTATGTTATATAATAATTCAAACATTAAATTTACAGAATGAAGAAAGGATAGTAAAATCTTCAAGAAAAAAAAAGACACTTATAAAAAAGACCTATTAAATTAACACCTGACTTTTCAATGAAGGCTCTGAAAAGAATTATCTGGGAAAATGTTCTACAAACTCTGAAAGACCACAAATGTCATCCTAGACTAAAGAAATACCAATTACAATCTACTAAGGAAAAGAACATTTCAAGATAAAAACAGCTTTTAACGATTTTTTCTGCTAAAATCCAGCTCTATAGGAAACAGTGCAAGAAAAACTTCAACATACAGAGTGATACCCAAGAGGACACAAGGAATACATAATTCAAGAACATTCCTTAAAAGTGAGAAAATCCACGATAACAAAATAATTAACAATTAACTAATTAAGAAACTAAATAAATGCTATTCATTAATAACCCTCAATATTAATGGTCTCAATTTCTCCAATGAAAAGACACAGAATAACAGGTTAGGTTAGAAATCAGGAACTATCTTTCCGCTGCATTCAAGAAACATGCTCCACCATCAAAGACAGACATAAATTTAGGGTACAAAAAGGAAAAAAAAAAAAGCAAGTAGGATATAATAGCTTCTTTAATATTTGATAACACAGACTTTGAGCCAAGACTAGTCAGAAGTAAAAAGAAAAGGCATTATATAATCATTAAAGGAAAAAAATACCAATATTACAAGTCTTAACGTTTATGTATCAGACATAATGGTATTCAGTTTCAGAAAAGAAACACGACTACACCTAAAATCGTATATTGAGCCTAGCATAGTGAGAATGGGAGACTTCAATATGCTAATCCCATCAACAGACAGGTCATCCAGACAAAAATTAACAGGGAAACTTTAGAGTAAAATATCATCTTAAATCAAATAGAGCTAACAGATATCTACAGAACATGCCACCCAAACATTAAAGAGTATACATTTTTTTTCCTCAGAAGTCTATGAAACTTCCTTCAAAATTTGTCACAAATTGTGACACAAAGTAAGTCTTAGCAGATATAGGAAAACTGAAGTAACAGTCTGCATTCAATCTGACCACCATCACCACCATCGATTAAAATTGCTTATCAATGATAGATACAACAGGAAGTATACAAACTAGTGGGAGCTAAATAACTTTCTACTGAAAAAAAAAAAAACAGAAATCGAGAAGAAAAATAAACCCTATTTAACAATTTAATTAAAATATATAACCTAATCAAACCTACGAGAAACATTAAAGGCAGCTAGTTCTAAGAAGCAAAATCATAGTACTAGGTATCTATATCAAAAAACTGGAGAGGTATAATTTTAATAATTTAGTGATGTATTTGAAAGCTCTAGAAAAACAAACAAATATAAATAGTCCCCAAAAAGGTAGATAAAAATAAGTAATTGAACTCAGGGCTGAAACCAATTAAATAGAAACAATAAAACCATTACAGAGAATTAATAAAACAAAGCGTTGGTTCTTTGAGAAAATAAACAAGGTTCACAAATCTTTAGCCAAGTTAACAAAAGATAGAGAGTGGATGGAAGTTTATGAAATTAGACATATAAAAGAAGGCATTACAACAGATACTGAGGCAATTCAAAGAATCATAAGAACATACATTTAAAAGTTGGTATTCCACCAAACTGGAGAACCTAAAATAAATAGGTGAATTCTTTTTTCTTTTTTATTAATTAATTCAGTTTACATCTCAGTCATAGGTCCCTCCCTCCTCTCCTCCCAGACCCACCCACCCATCCTCTCTGCTCCTGTTTCCTCAGAGAAGCCCTGTCCAGACACCCCAGGTCATCTATTCACATGATGATTGAGCTCATCTTCCCCCCTGTGGCCTGGTAGGGCAGTCCCATCAGGGGAAAGTGGTCAAAAGCAGGTAACATAGTTCGTTTCAGAGATATTCCCCTTTCCCTGACTATTGGGCCAACATGAAGCCTAAGATGTCGATTGGGTGTTTATAAGTAGCGGACCTGAGTCCAGACCATGCATTATCCTTGGTTGGTGCTTCAGAATCAAGAGACTCCTCTGGGCCCTGATTGATTGGCTCTGATGGTCTTTGTTCCCACTCTTCCACCATTACCTCTGTCTATTCATTTTTCCCTTTCTAGGGTCTTCCTTGTTACTTCAATAGATGAATTGTTTAATATATGTGAGCTTCTAAAACTAAATCATCAGTGCTCAGGGGGAAATTTATAGCACTAAGTGCCTGCAAGAAGAAATTCGTAACATCACATACAAACAACTTAATGGCCCAACTGAAAAACCTAGAAAAAAAAGAAGCAGATACACCCAAGAGGAGCAGAAGGCTGGAAATAATCAAACTCAGGGCTGAAATCAATCAATTAGAAACAAAAAAAAAACTATTCAAAGAATCAATGAAACAAAAAACTGATTCTTTGAGAAAATCAACAAGATAGACAAACCCTTAGCCAAACTAACTAAAAAGCAGAGAGAATCTATCCAAATCAACAAAATCAGAGATGAAAAGGGTGACATAACTACAGACACAGAGGAAATTCAAACAATCATTAGGTCATACTACAAAAGCCTATATGCCACAAACTTTGAAAATCTAAATGAAATGGACAATTTTCTTGATAGATTCCATCTTCCAACAATAAGTCAAGATCAGGTAGAAAGACTGAACAGCCCCATATCCCCCAAGGAAATTGAAGCAGTCATTCACAGTCTCCCCTCCAAAAAAAGCCCTGGGCCAGATGGTTTCAGCGCGGAATTCTACCAGACCTTCAAAGAAGTGCTCACACCAATTCTCCTCAAACTATTCCACAAAATAGAAACAGAAGGTACATTACCAAACTCATTCTATGAAGCAACAATCACCCTGATACCTAAACCACACAAAGACCCAACAAAAAAAGAGAACTTCAGACCTATCTCTCTTATGAACATTGATGCAAAAATACTTAATAAAATATTTGCAAACCGAATCCAAGAACACATCAAAGATATCATCCACCACGACCAAGTAGGCTTCATCCCAGGCATGCAAGGGTGATTCAACATACGGAAATCCATCAATGTAATCCACCACATAAACAAAATGAAGGAGAAAAACCACATGATCATCTCCTTAGATGCTGAAAAAGCATTTGACAAAGTCCAACACCCATTCATGTTTAAAGTCTTGGAGAGATCAGGAATACAAGGCACATATCTAAACATAGTAAAGGCAATATACAGCAAGCCTATAGCCAACATCAAACTCAATGGAGAGAAACTTAAATCAATCCCACTGAAATCAGGGACAAGACAAGGCTGCCCACTCTCTCCCTACCTCTTCAACATAGTACTTGAAGTCCTAGACAGAGCAATAAGACAATTAAAGGAGATCAAGGGGATACAGATCGGAAAGGAAGAGGTCAAAGTGTCACTATTCGCAGATGATATGATAGTATATATGAGCGACCCCAAGAATTCAACCAGAGAACTCCTCCAGTTGATAAACACCTTCAGCAAAGTGGCAGGATACAAAATCAACTCAAAAAAATCAGAAGCCCTCCTGTATACCAAAGACAAAAGGGCCGAGAAAGAAATTAGGGAAACAACACCCTTTACAATAGCCACTGATAACATAAAGTACCTTGGGGTGACACTAACCAAGCAAGTGAAAGACCTGTTTGAGAAAAACTTCAAGTCTCTGAAGAAAGAAATTGAAGAAGATCTCAGAAGATGGAAAGATCTCCCGTGCTCATGGATTGGTAGGATTAACATTGTGAAAATGGCCATCCTGCCAAAAGCAATCTACAGATTCAATGCAATTCCCATCAAAATACCAACTCAATTCTTTACAGACCTTGAAAAAAAGATTCTCAGCTTCATATGGAGAAACAAAAAACCCAGAATCTCCAAAACAATCCTGTACAATAACAGATAATCTGGAGGTATCTCTATCCCCGATCTCAAGTTGTACTACAGAGCAATAGTAATAAAAACTGCATGGTATTGGCATAAAAACAGAAAGGAGGATCAATGGAACTGCATAGAAGACCCAGAAATAAACCCACACACCTATGAATACTCGATTTTTGACAAAGAAGCCAAAACCATTCAATGGAAAAAAGACAGCATCTTCAACAAATGGTGCTGGTCCAACTGGATGTCCACATGCAGAAAAATGAAAATAGATCTATACTTATCACCCTGCACAAAACTAAAGTCCAAGTGGATCAAAGACCTCAACATAAAACCAGATACTCTAAATCTGTTAGAAGAAAAAGTGGGGAACAGCCTAGAACTCATTGGCACAGGAGACAACTTCCTGAACAGAACACCAACAGCACAGGCTCTAAGAGCAACAATCAATAAATGGGACCTCATGAAACTGAAAAGCTTCTGTAAAGCAAAGGACACTGTCATCAAAACAAAACGCCTGCCTACAGATTGAGAAAGAATCTTCACTAACCCTTTATTGGAC